TTCTATTCTATTCTATTCTATTCTATTCTATTCTATTCTATTCTATTTCTATTTCTATTTCTATTCTAGAGACAGAGTCTCCTGTAGCCAAGGATTACCTTGAACTCCTGACCTTACTGCCTCAAGCTCTCCGGGGCTGAGGTTGCAGGTGTGCACCACAACGCTCTGTGGTACTGAGGCACTTGAAGCCAGGGCCTTGAACATACTAGGCAAGCACTCTACCAATTGAGTTGTACCCCCAGTCTATGTCACTTTTTATTTGTATCAAGACATACTGAACAAGAAGTTTTGAGATACAAAAGGGAATTTAGTTTTTGTACCTACTTTTAATCTTTGTTCACAAGTTAAACAAAAACACACACAAGCACATTAAACACATGGATTCTGAAGGACCACTAAGTGAAAGTCATTATTTTAGTACCAGAGACACCAAAATTAAACTACTATTCTATCTGGAGAAATAAACAGACATATATGGATAATATAAAACCACCATATAGATTTAAACAGATCCCTACAAAGTGAGTCTACCTCATGGGAGTAGGTGTTTTAAACCCAGAGACCATAGTTTGTAAAAGCATGAAGGCCTGAAATGCAACATAAATCCCTAATGTGGCCAGGAATCACTGGAATTTACAGCAGAGATTAAGCCTAACTTCTGCTTGGCAGTTAGCTGCTGGTCTCAGCTGCTTCTCACATTCTCCGTTTAGCTCCATCTTGCTTCAGCTGCCGGGTCATAGAGCTCTCTCTTTCCTTAGTGTCTGTGGCCATGGAGTAGGTAATTTCTCACCTGCTTGACCTGCATGACCCTGTTCCTGAGGGGAATACAGTTGGTGTCTATATGTGTATGTCACTTCCCCAAATTCGTCTGTTTATTCCATAAGGCTCTGTTCAATCACTCCCTCTGTTCATCGAGGTCTATTCCTAAAGCTCACGGCTGTCTTCAAGTTAAATCTATTCTTGAAGAGTGGGCCATGACTTGTGATGCTTCAGGTCCCAAAAGTAATCCTGAGAAGGGTTTGGAGAGAGGCTGATTGACAGAGATTTAATACGACTCTTGGAGGGCTGGAGAGCTGGTTTGGTAGTTCAGAGCGTTGGTTGCTCTGCAGAGGACCTTGGTTTGGTTCCCAGCACCCAGTGGAAGCTCACGAGCCATCTCTAACTCTGCAGTCCTCTTCTGACCTACTTGGGTACCCTGCACATACATGATGCATATACATACATGGAGGCAAACACTTATACATATGAAGTGAAATATATTTTTAAAAATTAATAACAAATTCTTTGAAGAGAATAGTTCTTCAGATGTATAAATTCTGGTGTCCTTAAGAATAAAGAACCTGCAGTGCTGTGTATCTATGGTTACATGTGCCTGGGTGGCTGAGGTAGGAGACTCACTTGAGGTGCTTGGTGCCTCGATTCTCTACACTCACTGAAGGTCAGGACCGAGTGCTCAGCAGTGAGAGGACGTCTGTGAAGAGGCTCGTACTGTAGCCTGGGCTACACAGAGAGAGACCCCTTCTTTAAAAACAAAGTCACATGGTTAACTTTTTGGGTGTGATAATGACTTTTTGGTTATGATTTTTAAAAAGTAGTTCTTTGAAGAGCTATGTACTATAATACTAATAAGGATAAAATAATGAGGCCTCTCTTTTAAAGTCATCCAGTGAGAGGAGAGAGCAGCTGGGGGTGTGGATGAGACAGTGTTACTTGCATGCTTACAAGGGAGTTCAGTCTCCCAGGGTATTTTTGCATATGTTTGAAATGTTCAACCACAAAAAGAGAAACAAGTTTGCATTATAGTTACACCTTAGTTTGTACTTGATTCTGGAAAGAGAATCATTGTTTTCATGAACATAAATACAGACTACATTAAGAGTATTCCTTTCATATTTGAGATTATAATAACATCATTTCTGCCTTCCATTTTCTCCCTTAATATCCTCTTATATGCCTCTTCCTGCTCTCTTTCAAATTCATGCTTTGTTTTTTCAAGGCTGAGGAGCCTTGGAATAGGGTTCTGGGGCATGTTTTGTACTGATAGCCAGCCTTGGAGAAGTTTGGCTGTGAGTGGCCTGGCCAGGGACAGTGGGTGCCCATTGTTCCCACCCATCTCTGTTAAAACTGTATTTGTTGAGGTAACTATTGACTTCATGACGGTTTCTTACGCAAAAAGAAATCTTACATTTGGGGGTAAAGATTTAGAAATATTAAATATCAGGATCTCTATCAATTCTAGAATAAAGGAAACTGGCAGTGTCCATGCTGACTCCGTTTGCCAGGACACTGTTGTGATGGTGTACATTTACAATCACATTGGCCATCCTAGCACTTGAAAAGTTTGAGGCAGAAAAGCCTGGGCAGCCAGAGTGGACTTTACACTGAGGCCTCGACTCAAACAAAACAAAACAAGATCTGCAACAAACTAATAAGCTCTTTTAAAACCCGGACCTGTGAGTGAGCTTGTTACTCTCATCCTCCCTGCATTCTCTTGCTTGCACTAATAGGAAACCCATTCGACAAGTCATGCAGCCTTGGGGCAGCACTCCAGACTCCTCTGGTATACTTAGACATGTAAAAGCCAAGAGGTGGGATCTGTTCGTTTGTTTTTTGTTTGTTTTCGTTTTTTTAGACAAGATTTCTCTGAGTAGACCTGACTGTCCTGGAGCTCCCTCCTGCCTCTGCCTCCCCAGTGCTGGGATTAAAGGCTTGTGCCACGATTGCCCAGCCAAGAAATGTTTCAAGGGCATGGGACTCTGGACATTCAATTTTTTGCTGTAGTATTTTCTTTCACTCCCTACCCCCAACTGTCTTAAACTTTAAGAAAGGCCTTCCTAACACTAATCTGACCACATTGTTCCCTGGGCAGAGAGGTATATGGAATCCACTGGGATAGTGAGATACACAATACTTTGGCTGAAAATCACCCTGAGCAAGTAATGTCTGAACAGCAGATACTTTTGTGATCAGATGGTTTTCTAGTTTGCTTGTATAAAACTGCAGGAAATTCTAAAGCATATTGTAAACTGATACATCACATTTTGTTTATTTATTTCAGACAGAGTCTCCTGGAGGATTCTTGCCCTTGAGCTCGTATCTAGCTGGTGGTGACTTTGAGCTTCTGTTCTTGCTTCCTCTACTTCCTGACAGCCACCTGGTCTAACTCATAGATCTCTAGAAAAAAAATTCACACTGTTTGTCCCAGGATTTTTGGCATCGTTTTGACAGTACCAAAGATTGGGGGCTGCTTCTATTTCTTTCTACTTTTGTAGCAGATTCCCCCCTCATTATTCATGTAAATAATTAAGCAGAAAAAGACAGAGGTTTAAGACTGAGGTTGAATTGTGTCTCAATTTAGGAATGAAATTATCTACAGATACTTGGGCTAATTTCATTCAAATCACAAGTCCCTATCCAGGTCATTTATAGAGATATTTCTGTTTAGTAAGTCCTTACCAAAATAAAAATTATTCATATTATTTTATCAGTAGCACACTAATAATAACCAAAGTAACTGAATCTAGAATTGTGTGTCTATGTGCACTTGAATGTGCTCATATGTGTGTCTGATTGTGTATATATGTGTGTGTTTTTTGTGTGTTACTGACTCTGGAATTCACCAGAACTCTATATGGAGACCAGGCTGGCCTCAAGCTCACAGAGATCCAACTGCCTCTGCCTCCCAAGTCCCAAGTGCTGAGATTAGGGTGTACACATTTTATATGGTTGCTCCACAGCCATGGAAATGAAGAGGCAGAGCCCCAAAGCTACTAGGAAAGAAGAGTTAGTTCTCCCTGATTCCTTTCTCTAAGGCTTTAAGTCCTGTCAAACTGAGTTTCCTAGTGTTTTCTGTCAGTAGACTCTGGCTCAATCTGGTTCTGAACATTTCCTTCCTTTCCTTTCCCTGATATTCATCTGACGTTCTGCTAAATGCTGAATTACGATATGGCAAGGCTGGGTTCGTGCCCAGCGAACCTAGACTTCTCTCCCGTGTGCTCTGCTCTGCTCCCAGGCATCTGAACCGACAATTTTTGCAGTTAGAAATGTGAATGTGACAGGCAAGTCTGAGATGGAAGCAGTGAGCAGAGACCTGATTTCCTTCTTTTCTTTCTTTCTTCTTTCTTTCTTTCTTTCTTCCTTCCTTTCTTTCTTTCTTTGTCTCTTTTTTTATTTAATGGCAAGTTTGCAGAGCCCCAGGACCTGCTGCCTGCTGGTGTGTTTCAGGGACACCCATTTTGCTGGCATGGATCTGACATGGCAGAATTTGAACCAGGTCTTTCCTTAGGCCCCACTTTTCTTATTCCATTTTCTGACCACAGCACAGGTCACAGTTAGCTTGGTAAGTACTCGTGGCAATCATTTTGAAGGTTTTTTTTCAGCCTTTCTAATCGCTTTGTAGGCATCTAATTGTACAAATGCTCCTTGACTTGTCCTTAGGGTCCATCCCAATAAACCAATACAAGGCTGAAAATATCATTAAGACAGAATACATTTAATACACCTTACCCTTCTGAATGTTACAGTCACGTAACAGTGGCTCCAGGTGCCTGCTGTTTATCTTTGTGATCACCTGGTTGATGGAGGACTGTGCTTTTCTGTCTAGCACAACATGGAGAGGGGGTATCATGGCACTCCACATATTGCTTTTAGCCAAGAAAATATCAAACTCCCTAAACCGAAGTAATATTTACAATTGACCACTGATGCTTTTATATCATTGTAAAGTTGAAGAAAAAGACAATACCTGTAAACCATCACAAGTTGAAAGATCCCCAAGTCAGGGATATCGGAATGAAATCTCTTGGGTTTGCAGTAGCTAGAATGGGTTCTTTCACTGGCAAGCACATTCTGGCTGATAGCATTCATCCCTCGGAGCTCCTCTCTAGCACCTGTATTGTCCCTTGGGTCTTTTTATAATCTAATGGTGCTGGGAGCCAAAAGATCTATGCTAGCCCTGGGAGGCCAAGTTGTTACTTGAGTGGTTATCCTTTTTCAGAGCTAGCCCCTTGCAGGACTTTTTTTGGTTAGTTTTCCTTTTGGTGGAAAGAGTCTTTCCTGGCCTTTCTGGCAAAAGCTCTTCATGAACAGATCCAACCGTGACTTCAGTGTATTGACCCTTCGTATAACGGCTACCCTGTTTCTGCCTCTCACTGTGTTTAACTCAACAGTGTGGGATGCCTTTGCTTCTATCTCAGATTCTATTATGCTCTTCAGGTGTCTTACTCGGTTGTTCCTTCACAGTGGGATTGTCTGAGTCATTTCTTTAGCACACTGATCTTTTTTACGTGGCTTGAAAAGCCCTCTGGAGATCTCTTTTAAAGTGCTAATCCTTCAACCAAGCCTTGATTTAAAATGCTGATGTTTGGGAA